TCTGCTGGATGAAGTCAAGCCATCAAAGGCAGCCACCATCGTTTCAGCCACCGGCCAAGTTGTACCCGTGCGTGGCCAAGGGAGAGCCATGTTTATGGGTGCGGATGGGAGGCTTGTGGGGCTGAAGCGTGTTCTTCTTGTCCCTGGAATATGTGCCAACCTTCTCTCTACCATGCATTGAGTGAGGCAGGGATGAAGATGGAGATGATGGGCACAAAGGTGTTCAAGGCAACTCTGGACGCGCGCGTGTTGTGGGACCTCCGAGGTGGCAAGGACATGCACCGGTCCATGTGGGAGATACCGGTGCTGCCATGGAAGGAGGCGGCTGCGCGCTTGGCTGCTGAAGCTGTAAGAGGAGGGCATGCAAGCCACGTAACCAATGGAGGAGGTGGTGATGGCAGTGATGGTGGGCTGCTTGTGCATGGGGGGGGGTGCTCTACCAAGTGTAACTCCTAGCACGGGTGAGACGGATTGGCTCACCGCACACCGTCGCTTTGGCCACGTGGCGTTACCTCAGTTACAGCAGCTCTTTAAGGAGGAAAGAGTCAAGGGGCTGAGGATAAACGGGGAGCCCAATGAGGTGGGCTCTTGTGAGACTTGCTTGACCAGCAAGTTCTCATGGTTTCCCTTCCATTCGGCGGTGGGGCAGTCAAGTGACCCGGTGGAGCTCGTGCATGTGGATCTTGTGGGGCCCATGAAGGTGAAGGGAGATGGTGGGGCCCTGTATTCCATGACTATGGTGGATGATTACACAAGGCTCACCTGGTCTTTTCCACTTGCAAAGAAGAGTGATGCTGCAAGGGTCATCATTGAAGAGTGGCTGCCCATGGTGGAGCGAGAGAGCGGCAAGCGGGTGAAGGCGATTCGTAGCGACCGTGGTGGGGAGTTTTTGGGAGCAGAGTTCCGGAGCTGGTTGAAGCGGCACGGCATCAAGCAGCAGCTCACCACGGCCTACACCCCTCAGTCCAACGGCATGGTAGAGAGAGCGATCCAGACCATCATAGAGGACAGGAGAACGATATTGGTGGACTCGGGTCTACCCTTGCGGTTCTGGCCCCTCGCTATTCGTCATGCTACCGTCATCAAGAACCGGGTGTTGACTCATGTGGGAGGTCAGCATTGGGTCCCTATGGAGAAGTGGAGTGGCAAGAAGCCCCTGGTGGATATGCTTCGTGTTTTCGGGTGCATGGGGCTCGTGCATGTTCTTAAGGAGAAGCGTGACAAGCTTCAAGCGGCGGTGGTGTGGGCTGCTCATTTGGGTCTTGCATGGGGGAGCAAGGGCTGGCTCATGTGGGACCCAAAATCCAACACCGGCTTCACCACCAGAGATGTCAAGTTCATGGAGGGGCTCATGTTCAAGGAGTGGTCGGAGCGGGGGAGGAGCAAGGTCACCATTCCGCTTGGAATAGAGGTGGGAACGAACGACCCACTTCTCATTCCCATCGAGTTGTCCTCATCTTCAGAGTTGACAGAGGTGTCACATGACTTGGGAGGTGCTGAAGGGGAGGCAACAGATATGGAAGGAGTACTGCAGCAAGGGGAGGCCCCTGTAGCTGAGAGAGGTGATACCGAGGAGGAGGTTCAGCAGCCTACACAATCCCCTAAGCTTCCACCAAGGCGAACAACCCAAGGGAAGCGTGATGCTGTCCGTGGTGGAGCCAAGGAAGGAGCAGCCAAGGAGAGGCCCAAGAGAGCTGCCCACCCAAGGGATTTCCTCAAGTATGAAAGACTTGGGGTTCCCAAGGCATTGCTGGTCCAGGAGGAGGAAGATGAGGAGGAGAAGGGAGCCGAGGGGGAGATGGAGCAGATTTGTTGCTTTGGCGTCAACTTACCTCATGAGCCGGCGTCAATGAAGGAAGCTCTCGCTGGAGATGATCGAGAGGCTTGGTTGGCTTCAAGGGAGGATGAGTTCAAGAGCCATATGGAGAATGAAGCGTGGACCCTCACCAATCTGCCCCCAGGAAGAAAGGCATTGGATTGCACGTGGGTGTTACATGTAAAGACCGATGCCGAGGGGAAATTGGAGAGGCGCAAGACAAGGCTTGTGATCAAGGGCTTTCAGTAGAGAAAGGGGATCGACTTTCAAGAGGTGTTTGCTCCTGTTGCCAAGGCTCCTACGCTCCAGGTGTTGCTAGCAGCCGCTGCCGTTTGTGGCTGGAAGGTGGAGCAAATGGATGTGAAGACGGCATTCCTATATGGCGTGATAGATGAGGTGATCTACATGAAGCAGCCAGAGGGGTATGACGATGTGAGCGGACGTGTTTGCAGGCTCAACAAGGCCATCTATGGCCTCAAACAAGCTCCAAGGTGCTGGTATGCAAGGCTGGTGGAGGCGTTGGAGGCTCTTGGCTTCAAAGTTAGTGGGTGCGACGAGAGTCTCTTCACAACCGAGGGGGAGGAGGAGAATGTGTTTCTCCTTGTCTACGTCGATGACATCCTCCTCTTCTCTCCATCCCTGGAGAGGATCAAGAGGTGCAAGGGAAGCTGAAGGAGACCTTTCAATGCAAGGCCCTTGGACCAGTGGGGTGTTACCTTGGTCTTCACGTGGAGCGGGACAAGGGATGGTTGAGGCTTCACCAACACAAGTGCCTTGCATGGGGGAAAAGTATGGGCTGGAGGAAGGGAGGAGTGTAAAGACTCCTCTACCCTCAGGGTTTCAGCTGCACCTTGATGAAGAGGAGGGTGAGGTGTTGGAGTACGAGTTGCAGCATCAGTTCCAGTCAATGGTGGGGAGCTTGATGTACGCTTCGGTCAACACTCGCCCTGACATTGCGCTTTCAGTTTCACAGCTCGCTCGTGGGCACTTGTACCTCTCGTGCTTCACCGATGCTACCTGGGCAAGTAACATCAGTGATGCTACATCCCATGGTGGCTATATATGCTGTGTTGGAGGGAGTCCAGTGAGCTGGAAGTCTAAGAAGCAAGGAGAGATAGCCCACTCATCAACGGAGAGCGAGTACATGGCGTTGTTTCATGGAGTGAAGGAGGTGGTTTGGATTAGGAGGTTGCTTGAGGAGTTGGGGCAGGAGCAAAGAGGGTCCTACACCTATGTTTTGTGACAGCCAAGGAGCAATTGCAATGGCGCGTAATGCTATGCTCCATGGGATGAACAAGCACATGCATATCAAGTGGCATTGGGTGAGGAAGGAGGTGAAGAAGGGCACCATCTCCTTGCACTACATCAACACTACCAAGCAACCTGCAGATTTCTTGACTAAGCGGCTTGCAGAGCATCAGTATTGGAGCTGTGCCACCTTGTGTGGCATGTCCTTCAACTAAGGGAGACAGCTTCAGGGAGCAGCTAAGGGATGAATGAAAGCACTTTAGTGGTACGTTCATCGCACTCCCATTCAGCCTACAAGTCTGCTCAGCTTTTGGAATTTTGTGGGGAGGTGCTTCGACATGTGTTCTTCAAACTCTCAAAGGATCAGATTTTTTGAAGCAGTTTACAAGGCATGGCAACATTTTTAGTTTCAAGACTTATGGCTTCCCGGAAGTGTGTGTTACTCTTTTTTGGTAACACCCGAGTTAACCATTTCGGATGCTGACTCATCTACCAAGCTCTCATTTGTCTGAAAACCGGTGTGGCAGTGCTTTGACGTGTTGCTCATGTGGTCTCAGAGTTTCAGGACAATCCAGCATCGGAGAAGCACGTGACAGCTGTCGAAAGTTACTGTTCAGTAGTCATGGTGCACTGTTGGCAGCATTTCCCTTGCCACTCTTTCATTGTTGTCATGCCAATGGTGCAGGGACAGAGAATGAGACAAGAAGTACAGGTGGTCAAGTGGGACTCTACCACCCTCCTTTTGAGAAGTGTGGTCTTCCTGGAAGCAGCTTGCAAGAGGGTGCAAGTGGGAAGACAAGCTGACTCATGGTTGGCTTGACTCACTATTGGTAGCCTTGAGTACAGCTCTAAACATCCAAGTGTCCCAACCCCTTAAGAGTCCCCTAGGCAATGTTGTACTTACCTCTTCCTTACATCAATGAAACTACACGTTTTCAGCCGAGCTTACGTTTTCGTTCGCTGCGTAGCGCATACACCTCTGATGAAAGCAAGAAATATACCGTTGGAAAGCAGACACCTGAAGCTAAATTCTCTCCAAGTTTCAGTCTTGTAGAATATTGGAGCTGATCGTGACGGCGTTTTGAACAGAGCAGATTCTGCTTAGGCGGTTTCATGGGCATCCGCGACCCCTAAGTGGACTCTAGACTATAACACCCTGTACCCGCCTCCCCATCCTGTACCCGCCGCCACACCCAGTAACTGCCGCCCCACCCTGTACCCTCGTGAGAAACCGCCAGAACCAGAACCGCTCATAACTGCTCTAGACCCCTCTCAACCGCAGTGAACCGCTTCGAACTGTTTAAGTTATATTTAATATCTATCCTGCTTGCTGTACTTATTGTAGTGTAGTTCTTTCATTATTTGTTTGGTGGAGCACCTTCTTTGTTCCTTTGCTATATGTTATTGCAAACCTATAGTGAAGCCCCTCATTCTCGACATTCCTCCTTGGCACAAACCTCTCGACTCCCGCTTGGCCTAGGCTTCTAGCCCAGGCCCATAGTTAAACCCGGCGCCTAGCTAAGATTTTTTCGTAACATGGTATCGAGCCGTAACGTTCCTATGGACCCACCAGTTGACACACTCGTCATGGCGCCCGTCACAGCCTTAGTTGCGACCTTAGTGACGGGTGCCACAGGGAGTACTTTCGCGGCCGTCCCGTCATGTCGCGGTGCTCATCATGACGGCCGCGGCGGAAGCTATGGCGAACGCCAGCGGACCCGTCAGCAACCCACGGCGAAATCGCCAGCGCGCTCGCCCACGTGCATGCGACCTCGCCGTCGGACCCACCGACGAGCACGCCAGCCAGCTCGCCAATCGATGCGCCAGCCAGCTCGCCAACCGACGCGCCAGCCAGCTCGCCAACCGACACGCCAGCCAGCTGGCCGCAACAGCCGCCAGCCGCCAACGGCACCGCCAGCAGAGACCCCGCCAGTAGCTACACCGCCAGCAGAGACCCCGCCAACAGCGACACCGCCAGCGATCCCGCCAGGAGCGCCACCGCCAGCAACGCCACCGCCAGCAGCGCCACCGCTAGCAGCACCACCGCCAGAGCACAACCGCCAGCGCCAGCCGCACGCTCTGCCGCCCGCCTCTCTATCCCCTCCCCCGTCGTCTCCCCTCCCGTGGCTACAGCTGTGGGGGGGTGGCTGCAGGAACGGGGGGTTGGCCACCATGAGAAGGAGCAGAACTGCCGTCCCACCCTGTACCCGCCGTCCCACCCTGTACCCACCGCCCCAACCTTTACCCGCCGCCCCACCCTGTACCCGCCTCCCCACCATGTACCCGCCACCCCACCCTGTACCCGCCGCCCCACCCTGTACCCACCAGCCCCACCTGCCACCTATCACCGTGAGAAACCGCCAGAACCAGAACCGCTCATAACTGCTCTAGACCCCTCTCAACCGCAATGAACCGCTTCCAACCGCGCTCAACTGCACTAGATTGTGCTAGACTGTACCTGTACCTGTCTTCCCTACCCGTGCCTGCGCCAGCCAAACCTGCTGCCTACCACGGCAAGAAACCTGTACTCTCCACCGTGCAGAACCGCACAAAACCGCACAGAACCGCACAAAACAGCACTTGCTGCCCCACCTATACTAATCAGAGCTGCCCTCATGCGCTGAAACCCGCCGCCAGCTACACCGCAGCTTAGGCTACCGCCAGCACACCAGCATCAGCTTAGGCTGCCCCCAGCAGAACCTTCAGCAGCATAGGCTGCCCCCAGCAGAACCAGCAGCAACTTAGGCTGCCCCCAGAAGAACCAGCAGCAGCATAGGCTGCCCCCAGCGCACCAGCAGCAGCTTAGGCTGCCCCCAGCAGAACCAGCAGCAGCATAGGCTGCCCCCAGCGCTGCAGCAGCAGTTTAGGATGCCCCCAGCCGGCCCAGAAGTAGCATAGGCATCCCCCAGCAGAACCAGCAGCAGCATAGGCTTCCCGCCAGCAGCACCAGCAGCAGTTTAGGCCCACCTGCCAGAACCACCCCCCGTTTCTAGCTTCTCACATGGCGTGTACTAGGGTTCTACAGCAGCAGGGCCAGCCGCAGCACTCCCGGCAGTGGGGACCCGTGGGTCCACAGTGTGGCGCCCCCAGCAGTGGCCTAGCTAGCAGTGGGCGAGACGTCGGCCCCTGCGGGTACCGGGCCCTGACAGGCCCTGGTGCTGGCACTACGTGCTGGAGTTCTGACCACTCCGCATCCCGCTACTACCGTCGCCTCGACAACCTCCACCGTGAGCATTTTGGTCCCCACGCTATTACACCGCACTGGCCCTCGCGTCTTCACCAGCGCACTGCTGCACCAGTTGAGTCTCACCAGGTATAGGACATTTCCCGGTTGCACGAGTAGAGACCTGTGAGTCTTGGTGGATGTGTACTTTCAAGTCCAGGCGCCTCTAAGGGTCTCTGAGGGAGCTGCAGCTACCACTAGTCTAGTACCAGCCTTTGTCACTGGCTCGGGTGTGACCTCACAGACTGCACAACTTTCCTTTACCCTAGACTCTGGAGCGTCCAGCTGTTTCTTTCGCGACTGCACCGACCTCACGCCACTGCGCACTCCAGTCAATGTCGCCTTGGCTGACCCCTCCGCCGGACCTGTAGTTGCCCACAGCACCACCACTCTCCCGTGTCCGGCGGCTCCCTCTGGGTTTCTCACAGGTTACTACACTCCCTCATTCTCCAGGAACCTGGTGGGTGTCAGTCACCTCCACAACCTAGGAGTAGTCACTACTTTCCCACTTGACTAGCCTGTTGCCTCCTGCACTGTCGGTGCCACTGGGGAGCCTCTGGCCACTTTCCACAGGGAGCCGGGCTCTGGTTTTTACTCACTACACACTGGGTCCCACCACACTGGGTCAGGTCAGGTCCGGTCAGGTCAGGTAGCTGCTATGTCATGCGATTGTCGGTCACTCACCCACCCATCGGTCCTCTGGCACCATCGTCTAGGTCACCCGTCCTTCCCGTGTCTCAGTAGGATGGTACGTCACCGTTGGTCTCAGGTCTCCCAGAGTCGCTCGCCCCGCTTCCCCGCTCGCCTGCGGCGCCGTGCACTCCTTGTGTCAAGGGTCGGCAGCGCGATGCCCCTCACTCCTCGTTCCCCCCCAGCACCGCTCCCTTACAGACCCTGCACTTGGACGTAGGGCCCCTCCCCGGTCCTTGGCCCACGTCAGCAGCGAGACTTCCTGATTGTGGTGGACGACTACTCCCGCTTCACCACGGTTTTACCCTTGCGACGTGCCTACCATCCTCGAGCCGTGGCTACTAGCGAGGGGTGATGACCAGGGATTTTGTGGGCCCTCCCCGCACTCGGACCTTGGTGGTGAGTTTTCTTCCACTCGCTTGGTGACGTTCTGTCAGGGTAGGGAATCCTCCAGTCTTACACGCCACCAGATTCGCCGCAGCAAAACGGGGTATCAGAGCGACGCATCGGCCTAGTCATGGAGGTTTCTCGGATCCATGTGCCATGCAGTGCCCCCCAGTTCCTGTGGCCTCAAGCAGTCCGCTACGCCGCACACCAGCTGAACCAATGGCCTAGTGACGCATGGCCACGGGTGACGCCGGTCTCCCTTTGGACAGGTTCTCCAGGTGTAGCAGCTGACTACTGTGTCTGGGGTTCCTTGGCCCACGTTCTTGCCCCTGGCGCGAACAAGTGGTCTCCGCGCACTCGTGCCTGTGTAGAGACGTGTGTTTCCAGTCTTGGTGCGTGTGTAGTGTCCATTTTAAGCACCTCTGAGGGTCCTTGTGTAGGAGCTGCAGCTACCACTAGTCTAGCACCAGCCTTTGTCGCTGGCTCGGGTGCGACCTCACAGACTGCACAGCTTTCCTTCATCCTAGACTCTAGATTGTCCAGCTATTTCTTTCGCGACTGTACTGACCTCATGCCACCGCGCACTCCAGTCACTGTCGCTTTGGCTTACCCCTCCGCGGGACCTGTAGTTGCCCACAACACCACCACTCTTCTATATCCGGCGGCTCCCTCTGGGTTTCTCACAGGTTATTACACCCCCTCGTTCTCCAGAACCTGGTGGGTGTCAGTCACCTCCACGATGTAGGTGTAGTCACCACTTCCCCACTGGACGAGCCTATTGCCTCCTGCACAGTCGGTGCCACTGGGGTGCCTCTGGCCACTTTCCACAGGGATATGGGCTCTTTTCTATACTCACTGCACACTGGTTCCCACCACACTGGGTCATGTCAGGTCAGGTCGGGTCAGGTGGCTGCTGTGTCGTGCGACTGCCGGTCACTCACCCACTCGTCGATCACGCGTCCGTCCCGCGTATCGGTAGGATGGTTCGTCACCGTATGGTCTCAGGTCTTCCAGAGTTGCTTGCCCCGCTTCCCCGTTCGCCTGCGCCGCCGTGCACTCGTTACGTCGAGGGTCGGCAGCGCGCTGCCCCTCACTCCTCCTCTTGCTGATTGTGATGGACGACTACTCCTGCTACTCCACGGTTTTTCCCTTGCGACGGAAGGCCGACGTGCCTACCGTCCTCGAGCCATGGCTACTAGCGACGGGTGGCGCCTAGGGCCTGTGTGGGCTCCGCCTGCACTCGGACCGTGGTGGTGAGTTTTCTTCCACTCGCCTGGAGACGTCCTGTCAGGGTCACAGGATCATCTAGTCTTACACGCTACCAGACTCGCCGCAGCAGAATGAGGTAGCCGAGCAACGCATCGGCCTGGTCATGGAGGTTGGCCGGACCTCCACGTCCCATGCCGGTGCCCCCCGGTTCATGTGGCCTCGGGCAGTCCGCTACGCCGCGCAACAGCTGAACCTGTGGCCTAGTGACGCACGGCCATGGTTGGCGCCGGTCTCCCTTTGGACAGGTTCCCCGAGTGTAGCAGCTGACTACCGTGTCTGCGGTTCCGTGGCTCACGTTCGCGCCCCTTGCGCGACCAAGTTGTGTGCTTGCACCTGTGCCTGCGTCTTTCTTGGCTTCACACTCGACTCCTCTGGCTGGGTGTTCTACGACCCGGTCACCCGCCAGTTCTTCGCCTCTGAGGACGTCACTTTTAACAAGTTGGTCATTTACTACAGGAGTCGACCATACCGAGGTTTAGAGACCTTTTCCCCCCCGCTGTTCCTCACGCCTGAGACCCCCCCCCCCCCCCCCCCCCCTCGTCGTCCCGGTAGCCCCCCCTCCTTCATGTCCTACCCCGTCAGGAGTGTCGCACGTCACTCCGCAATCGTCTCCCCCATAGCGTCCAGGCCCTGTCGTGTCTAGGGGTGCGGGAGGTGTAGGTGCGGAGGGTGGGGGGACAGGGGCTGCTGGACCTGGTGGTGCTGACTCTGGGGGTACAGCGGGTGTGAGGGTGGAGACCTTTCTTGTAGAGGACACGGCTGTCTCGACTCGGCGTCCTTGCCCCGCCTCACCTCCTGGCTTCCCGTCTGTCCCACAGTTCCCTCCTCATTTGGCTCTGCGACCGGTTGTTGCGGAGCCTGGGGGTGTTCCTACCAGAGGTATTGGAGACACCGGGGGTGTCGTTGCTGGAGGTTCTGGTTCTGGGGGTGCTGGAGCCAGAGTCACTGGCACTGCGCACTGTTCGTTTCCTGACCCGTGAGCAACGTCTACTCTGGTTGGAGAGGGAGGAGCAGGAGCGGTATGAGAGGGCACAACAGCAGCAGCACCAACATCAGCAGCAGCAGGAGCAATCTCATTCGCATGAGATGGTAGAGGAGGAGCCACAGCCACAGCAGGAGAGGGTAGAGGAGGAGCCACAACCACACCAGGAGAGAGTAGAGCAGGAGTCCCGGCCACAGCAGACGGTGCAGTTGTAGCCACAGCAGGAGAGAGTAGCGGAGGGGTCACGGCCGCAACAGCAGGTGCAGCTGCAGCTGCAGCAAGAGAGGGCAGAGGAGGAGCCACAGGAGCAGCAGCAGGGGCAGGTATTGTCGCAACAGACACCAGAGGAGGCGGAGCAGCAGCAACTGCGTGACCTGCCCAACCCACCACCTGCACGCTTGGTTTGTGGTCCCCTACCATCCCCTCCTGTCCCCCCCGACCAGTCCCTTTCCTCGTCCTAGTGGACTTGTGGTTCTCCCCACAGTCGTGCTGTGTCTCCAAAGTCCCGTTGGTCCCGTTACCGTGCTGACAGCCCGTTTCACCGTATTCTCCGCTCTCGTGTTCCACCTCCTCATGTCCTTCCACAGCCTCCAGAGTTGTCCCTCACAATGTTTCAGGACCCGTTGTCTGACTACCTCCGTGCCTCCCGTCCTGCCGTCTCCCGTGTTCTGTCCGCGTTGGTCACTCACCCGAGTGCCCTCCAGTTGTCTGTCTCGGCTCTTGTTACCATTGTCACTGGCTTTGCCTCTTCCCACCGCCTTGACTACGCCGCTCACCTGGTGAGTGGCCTTGCTCGTTCTCCGTCCTCTGGGGGTGCTCCTATCTTTTCCCTGGCGATGTCGAGGAGCTCCCAGCCCTTGCTCTCCTCCGACACGCCGGGGTGAAGGCCCCGCCTGGCCTTCGGCTTCAGCTCTCCACCACGCTGCTTCTCGGGGACCAAGAACTGCGCCATGCAGCCCCATACCCGTGCCAGCGACAAGTCAGGCTTCTTCCAAGTCAGCAGCTGGTATGGCGTCATCCCCGGCTACAGCGTCGACCGCTCCAGGAAGTTGCGGACCCAGACGGC